AAAAAAAAAAAAAAAAAAAAAAAAACTTTTTCTAATAAAGACCAACTTTTTAATGTTGCCTGCAAGTCTCATCAGCAAAAGCAAGTCCTGTGTGCTACTTTTGTTATCTTTTAGAAGATCTAAACCAGGCCTGGTGGCGCACCCCTATAATCCCAGCACTCAGGAGGCTGAGGCAGGAGGATCAAGACCAGCCTGGGCTACCTAGGGAGTTCCAGGTCAGGCTCAACTACATAGTGAGACCCTGTCTCAAAAAACCAAAAAAAAAAAATTATCTATAGTTTTGGACTTTATCTTTAGATCTAGGAACTATTTTTAAGAACTAGTTTTTGCCTGAATTGTTAGGCATCAGTCCAGGTTCATCATTTTGCTTGTGGATAGCTAATTTGTCTTATCACCTCTTGTTGAATGGTAACGGCTTTTCCAGTGGATTGCCTCAGTAGAGCATTTTGAACTGGGCTCTCTCTGGGCTGTTCATTCTGTTCCCCTTTCCCTGTGTATCTTTTTTTTTTTCTTTTTTGCAATTATTCTACCCTTATGGCAGGACCTTAAACTACATGATGTGGGTTTCCATCTATGTTCTTGGTTTTTATTCCTGCATTATCTGTTCTATGTCCCTTGATTTTTCATGTGAATTTCAGAATCTGACTGTTAAATCTACAAGACCCTGCAGATTGCTGAATTCCAATTATTTTGAATGTATAGTTCAAGTATGAAAAAATTAGTGGCAATAATGAATCTTATAATTGATTAATAAAGTATTTATGTATATTACTTGCTCTTACACACACACATAACATACATATGTATGTATCGAGATCTGTATCAAGACATTTAAATTTATTTGGTGTTATCGTTTTGGAGTGTTGTCTTTTCGTTACTGGTGTTTGTTTCTTGGATGGTGTCATTTTTGTGGTGCTGAGAATCGAACCCAGAACTTCATGTGTGCTTGGCATGCTTTCTATCACTGAGCTACACACTCATCCATGCTCTCCTGTTAGTTGTTTAAATGTTTGTCTGTGTCGTGTAGTCTGGTCTCTAGAATGCGATCAACTCATTCTCCCACCTCTACCTGCCAAGCAGCTGAGACAGCACGTGTGTGCCAGCACACTGGGTAAAATTTTTCTCTTCATTTCTAACTCAGTTATTGATTGCTATAGAAAAGCAATTGATTTTTACGTACTGACCCCTCACAGTTCAACGTGGAAATCTCCTCTGAGCAATTCTAAGGGGATGTGTTGTTCTTCTTCATTCTTTGATATTTTCTGGATATACAGTCTCGTCATCTGCGAGCTGAGATACATGGGGTTCTTTACAATCAGCAGATGTTTTATTTCTTTTCCTTTCTTATTGCAATGGATTTGGCTTGGAGTAAGATTTTGAATAAATGTGGTAAAAAGTAAAAGGTTATCCTTGTCTTCTTCCTTTTCTTTAAAGCAAAAGGCCAGTTTCTCATCATTAAGTATGTTTCTAACTACAGATTTCTTAGAGATATTTTTTGTCCATTTAAAGAAGTTCTTCTGTATTCTCAAGTTGCCAGGAATTTTTATCCTGAATGGTCTTGGATTTTTTCAAATTCTTGTTTTTAATTATATTTTCATGAGCATATGACTTTTTAACTGCCAAAATTATTTTTGATGGATTGAAAAATTGGTTTAGAACACTGAACCAGCTTTATATTTGTGGAATAAACACTTTGTTGTGATAATTTACTTGCTTTGCATTTTTCTAAACTCAATGTGTTACTATTTGGTTGGGAAAAGCAAAAATAAAAATTAGAGAAACTTTTGCTTTGTCCAGAAAAGAAGCCCATGTAAAACTGGAGCAAAAGGAGGTATGGTTGCTAAAGGTATCTGATCACTGTAGAGAAGCCAAGTAGTTTGTTTATTTGGGGGGGGTACTGGGGATCCAACTCAGGATCTTGTGCTTGTGAGGCAGGCAGCAGAACCACTGAGCTTAATCCCCAGCCCAAAGCCAAGTACATTGAACCAGGTCAAGATGAAAGACACTCAGGCATTTTGGGATTCAGAGAGGTCCCACCAATTGCAAACTCAAGATTGGAGAAGTGTAATCATTTCATTTGAGAGCAAATCCTTCGGATGCTTGTTGGAGGAGTGCCCTCTCATCAGTTGGCTCCCCAGGATTCATTCAGTCATGATCGTTCATCCAGGTATTCAGTGGTCACCACAGCCATGATCTAGTGAGGAGCTGGCTGCAGCCCCAGCCGGCAGGAGACTCTGGCATTATCCATGTGATGCTAGCTTTACAGGCATGAAGAATGTGAGAGTTAGTCACAGAGGCTTCCTTCCAGACGTCAGCAGAAGGCCTGGAACACCATGCAAAAATGTGTGATAGTCGGAGTTCCTGCAGGATCCTCTGCAGTCTGACACGTGAAGCTGTATGACGAAGCTAAAGTGGCAGTGGGGAGACCAGTAAGTTAGGTACACCAGGAATGTGGAGCATCTGCTATGTCCCCTCCAAACCAATCCATGGATCTAGTATTACTCTGATTCCAGGACCTGAAAAGAACACAACAAAAGCAAAAATACAGGTCCGTATCCTTGATGTACACACATAATTCAATCACATTTGCATAAATTGAATTCAGCAGCATATTAAAATAATCATATATAGCAGTCAACTTGGGTTCATCCCAAGCATTCAAGAATGGCCAAGCAGGGCCAGGGATGTAGCTCAGTGGTTCCACTGCCTGGAAAGCTCAAGGACCCAAGTTCTATTCCCTGTACCAAAAAAAAAAAAGTCAATAAATGTAATGCAGCACATTTGTAGAATGAAGGTTAAAAATCAGATGATCTTCTCCAAAGGTGTAGAAAAATCTTTGGTTAATATGTTCTGTTAAAAAGCAGGACCAGGCAGGAGCCGGGGATTTAG